CAAGAGCGTGCAGAAGCCCATTTCTTCTCATGTGCTCTGTTTAAAAGTTGCTTTTTGCATTGTTTATACAAGCTTACTTTTCAAAAGACGATTTGCAAATTTTCCACTATGTCAGACTCACCACCGGTAAGTGAAAGTGGGGACAAGCACGTAGGACAGCCTTACGTAAAAATATCACCAGTATAGATTGACAATTAGGAGGACCACTTATTTAGATGATCCAACCACAACAAGAACATCCTCCACTATAACTTTAAGCTTTATTTAACCATTGTAGAGATCATCAACCTATTACTGGACAAATGAATCATATTATGTAAGGTTGATCTTACATCTTAATAGATTATTTAACACTGGGAGGTTGATCAATTTGAAAGTGGTTATTTACTGGTCTGCAAATGATCCTTGAACATAGAAAATGTAAATCATCTAAAAGTAAGTGACACAGAAACTTAACTGCAACTTTTAAAGATGTTGGGAACAACAAACAGTTTAGTCATTGAGAGAAAGAAAGTAGAGAATCATAGTTTAATTTTACAGGTAAAAGCACTTAACCAACACTCAAGGGAAGGGCTTTTAGAGGTTCATGTTACTAAGCGACAATTGGAAATTAATTTAAGGTGAAGCAGCAAGCCACTTACACCTAAAATATTAATGACTACTTTACATTTAGTATCAAGGGAACTGATATGTCAAGCTTTTAGTTACCGAAAAAATACTGCAAAGGCATTTGTTTCAAATAAAAATGAAAGTCTTTGACGCAACAAATTAAGAAGAAACACATTTTTAATGCCCTATTTTCAAACAAATCTTTTAGCAAGGCATACGTGTGTAACAACTGATAAAGCAGCTGAGAACTATATCCATATTTTAGATTGCAACATAACTTTTCATATTACAAGCTAAGCAGGTGGAGATAAAGGAGACAGGAAGAATCTTTTGATCAAAATAACCATATTGTCAGTACATCCTGTACAGTCATCAGATCACCAAAATCTAAATTGCCTTTTGAAAATTCTTTTTTTTTTTTAGATGTGCAATTTTTTTCTTTTTATTTAAAGAATAGAGTACAGTTTACTTCTATCAATTGTTTGCGAAGTCATCCTTCCCACACCTTTTTATCAGCAGGTTATATCTTCGTGCCCTTTATTTTCTCTTTATGTCTCTTTCTACTTTGAGGGATATTAAATGATCACTATCTTGTCTTGCTGTTTTTCAAACTTTTGTCTTTTTCTGCCATTCTGACCTTGCTTTATTAGAGCTTACAGCTTCATTTGGCCCCCCAGCCTCCTTGATATGTGTTATTTTTTTCTCTCTCTTTCACCTAATCTGAGTCTTACTCTATCATTTATAAAGATGATTTTAGATGTGCTAAGAAGAATAGTTATTTTTGTTGTCGTTTCTTGTAATTAAATGATAGTTAATAAAATGATTAAGGCAATTTTAAAAGAACTGAGCATGGTATAGGAAGAGCAAACTGACATGGATACCAGTTTTAACTTTGAAAAAAATAAAGCCTAGAGAAAGAGAACAAGAGAAAGTGCAGGAATATATAATGTTGACAAGATAAAAATAAAGGAATGGGGCTAAAAGTATTAGTCATGTTTTAAAGGTTGTTTTACTCAGACAGCCAGCTCCTCTATTTTCCCCCTTAAAATAAGATAATTAGATAATATGTACTTGAAATCAGACAATGAAATTGTTTTTTTTTCTTATTTGAAATGTAAATGATCTTGTTCCATTGGCAAAGTGTCTCACTTACCTTCTCAACTCAAGGAAAATGCAAATATTTGAAGAAAGAAATCACTTATTTAGATTTTTATTTTTTGCAGTGCAGCAGCTCGACTAACACATTAAGATGGTCATTTCAAACAAAAATATTACTAACTTATGTTTATGCCACAAAAATACAAAACTAAAAAAACAAAATTTAAACTAAAGGAAAAGAATTTGAAAGTGCAGCTATGCAAATTTTTGACAGGTTTCCATATTAAAGGAATACACTTTATTGAAGATATGGTTCAGAAATATCATTAGTGATCTAAGAAGATATCTACTTATCCACTGCTGTTGTTATCAGGGTAATTTTCATACACACAAACCAGTGTATATGCTTATATTTGAGAAGTGTTCTCTGATTTCCCCTGCATTTCAACTGGAATATGCAGATTATACAATAAAAAAATTAAGTTGTTGACTTAATGTCTTATTCAACATATCCCATAATATATCAATTAGGAATGGGTACCAAAATCTGTACTTTTATAGTAATCAACTGGATTCCATCGGTACTACTAAGTACTTATTTAGTTAGTCCAGTACCTCAATGCAACATTGTGACATCGAGGGAGTGTAAGAGTGTAAGAACATACCATGCATGATAACGTCAGAAGCCACTTGTACAGTAAAAAAAAAGCAAGCTTGACTAAAAGAAAATGGTTGAGCGTTTGGTTCCACTTCAAAAGATGCATTTTACACCCCCTGCAATATTTGTTACATGAGGTGCAAGACCAGCAGAGGGTAAACTCCTAATCTGAGTAGCATCTGCTTAAAGGTCTACTTTTCCGGTTAGAAGTTGATTTGTTTTTTTTTTGTTTTTTTAAAACAAACTAATATTAGTACCCACCACACCAAATATTTTAGCCAGTGTCTGAAATCATTATGGGTCTGGGATACTGGCCTCCTTCACAGAGTCTTCCTCTCTTCCTGTCCTCTGTGCTCTGGTGAAGATGGTGAAGAGAGAGCCAACAACTCATCACAACACCATCATCAATTGGACAACCATGTTTGTTTTGCCAGTGTTAGTCACAGTCGTCATTGCCTCCAGCCGATCCCCCACCCATCTTGGCGTATTCCACATCTTTCTGGATTATGCCTTCAAGGGTGGTATTTTTCAAATATGACATGTGAGCGTCAGTCGGCTCTGAAGAGAAATAACTTTATCAGACAGTACTTTAGGTATAAGATTGTTCTAAATCCAAAAATGTGCTCCATTTCCAACAGCTACAGATCTATGGCTTCAACTCCTTCATACAGCTTTCAACAGTGAAAGACCATCATGTTGAGCCAGCAACATGGGAGAGGTAGCCACATCATGCTCTCGTCCGAAGTTTAATGTGCAACATTGTTACCTATACTAAAATAATTGACTGTTAAAAAGGAGAATCTTGAATAAGATGCAAAAAAAAAAAAAAAACTGATAATGGGCTGAATGACAGAGAGGAGAGAAAGTGAAGGTAAAGAGACATTATTGAGTATTGGAATGAGATAAGAGCTGCGTATAAATTTTTTTTATCTATCAATGAAATCTGAAACATTGAAGATTGAAATATTTAAGATTATGCTTACATTATAGCATTATAGGATACAGTGTGTTGTTAGTGAAATTCTTGAAATATTTGCTCTCTACCAGTGTGGAAATTCTTCCACATGTTTTTTTAATGCGTTGAGATAAAATATAAACCCTTTCAAACAAATAAACTCTAGCCAAAGTTGTCAAGCATTTCAATACATATACGGAATAGGGTTGTTTTCAGCTTTTTGGGGGTTCTAAATAAATACAGCTTTTGGGTGAAGATTTAAAAAAAATGAAATAGAATTACAGATGAAGAAGTGATAAATGTCATTAGCTGCATATTTTTATACATGCCTTTAGCTTTATGAAGCACATTCCTTTACTGAAGTTCATTATGCAAAAGATTCAACTAAGGATACAGCTCACAGTACGTTATTTTAACAATGACATTAGCTTATCATTCATAAGAATTAATTGTTTAAATAGAAAAGCACTGTTTTTTAAACAGAACGTAATTCATCTTCCCTGGGACTTCAGAGTAGCATTATAGTGGCAGTATAAAAGTTTCTGTTCTCACTGGACAGAGAAATATATGCAAAATGACGATACTGTGATCAACATTTCTGGCATTTTTGTAAATACTCAACAAAATCTAGCATGTCTGCTCTTTAGGGCAAATTATATTCTTGGCTACAATCACCAATACCCCAGTAAAGAACAAACACACATTAAATAACAAAAATAAAATTACATAGCAACATATGTGAATGATATTTCTCTAACTTTCTCTAGATACACATAAATGGGTCAATATTTCATGTCTAAAAAATCTTCATACAAAAAAACAAAAGAAAATAATAGGACGAAAGATGATAAAACACTTTTTATTACACAGTAACAGAAAAGCGTCTGCCAAATAAATATATTTTAAACATGAATGAAGAAACACAAACAAATGTTACAAAATAAAGTTTAATTGTCACCAGCTTGTTTTGGATATTTAGAGTTTACGATTCATAGATAAATGGTTATCGACACTATAATACTAGTTTCCTATTGGGGATAGTGTAAGACCAACCCACCACTGCCCACACATCCAAGTCGGATTGATAATAGAGTAAGTTAGGTTTAGGATTAGGTTGGTGTCTGGTTTAGCCCAGAGTGAAGGAAAGGCAAAAATGGCCTCCTTTATCACGTTTAGAACAAAAATATTAGACTCTGTTAAAGATAGACTGATATGAAAATGCCCTTCTTACTGAAGAAAGATAAAAAATATAGACAGGACACATCAATACATTATTGTGGCAAAGTTATTCTAATGAAGCTTCTTATTATAGCTTCACATAAATATACATCAGAGTTTAAGATGTTATTCAGTTTTTGATTAAGAGTTTTCTGAATTCTTAGGACAATACAAAGTCACTTTTGGCTGGGAACAAAAAAGGGTGTGTTTTTTATCCTACAAAAGACAGACTGAATTTGATAGCTTTAAATAATTAGGTAATTGTGGATATAAACTTTCATTTCGACGATTCATAAAAAATAGATTTTTCAGTTTCTAAGAAATCGAAACTTTAGTTTGTCTGATCATCAATATTTAAACATTCTTTTAGTGGATATTTCTCAGTGTATTTCCTTCCTAGAACTTTAACACATGCCCAAGCACCATCTGTTAATCATTATGCAGAAAGGCAAATGTTCTTACCTTCATATATAGCTTTGAAGCCCTGTGCACTCACTGCAAAGTCTGTTGTAAACCACAGGGCTAGTATGGAGCCACTGCTGACAATGGGCGAGGGCAGCATGAATCCTGACAACCTGTAAACAGAAAGCAGTGTAATTATGAATAATGCATTTCTGCCAATTTGGAAAAACAACAAGCAGAAGACCTTCTAAAAAAAAACTGAAAATCTTCAGATATATTTAAAATGTATGACAGAAAAAAAAGTTTGTTTTTGTTTTACTCTTTGGAATGATGCTTTTATTAAGGGTTTTATAGAAGTGAAATTCAAGTCTAGGAACCATTTGAGGACAAATATAATTTCCTAGACTAAAATGGACCTTTGTCATAAGAGGATGCAATTTTTGAGTCTAGTCATTTACACTGAACTCATAAAATCTTTATATTTTATGAATAAGTGGTTTTCATTAAAAATTTTGGACTTCATAAAAAATAGAGTTTTATCTACTTTTTTATAGTCTAAAATCCTGTACAATTTAGCTATTAAGCCTAACCAAACGCAATAATTTGATATTTTGCAGTGGTTTTGCTCGCCAGGCAGAAAAAGGCTTCACTATGTCAATGAGTCCGCTGGTTGAAGGTTTCATCTCAACATATAAGACAGGGATTCTATGGAACGAGTCATGGCAGTTTATTTACTTTGGAAAGCTGAACAAATCTGCTACCCTCCCTGGGTCCAGCAGATCCCCCAAAGATACCCAGTATTCAGGAGTCCGGGAGCCAGGGCTGGATGACAGCTTTCCACCATGTCAGGTGAGAAGAGAAGGTTTAGTTGAGTTCAGGCTACAGCAGCAGGGAAATCAGAGCAAGAACCGTAGCAGAGAGAGTGCCAGAACTGGGACGAGGCTGATGACTATGCCTGCCTCTGTTACTAAGGAACCACATAGGGAGATTGGAGGAGGAAAGCAGTATATAGTAGAAGCCTGGTGGGCACACAGAGCGCCAAAGTGGGGGAGAGCCGGCAGCTGGCCAGAATAGCTCTGGAGGCTAAAAGTGGGGGACTTGAGGGTGACAGCGGTAGATCGATAAAACCATCAAGGCAAACAGGCCTTCAGATCGGTGATAGGTGGCAGATGTCTGGAACTAGCTCTGAAGGCTAGCAGCAGCAGATCTAAGGAAAACAGCAGTATCAGAGAAGTCAACTGGGCAGAGTGGACCAAAGCAGGGAGAGGTTGTGATGGCTGGCTGTTAAATTAATTATCACAAGTGGTCAAAAAATTGATCAAAACTGAATTGAACCATAGTCCCCTGCTGTCCCCCGAGTTACTTTAATTTTTCAGCAAGTAGAGATTATTTACACAGATTACAGGTGTAAATCAGGTCATAACTCTTCTAGATTTTGTTTGATTGTTTAACTTCTGTGTTTTATTTTGGTGAACTTACCCTACCTGTGTTTCAGGCACTAATCTCTATTTATTCACTGAATTGCTGATTGGCCGTTGGTAATACAGGGTTTAAGTAAAGCCACCGGCCGGCATTTTGGTACTCCCTTAGACCGATCGCAATGTAAACAATACGTGCTCTACAGCATTGAACAAAGATGATGTTCTCATTTTCAGGGGGACTTAAGACTTAAAATTAGGATAATATGATCACTTTGACACACACTTGTTGTTTCATAGCTTAAGTAGATTGCTTTAACTAAGAATAAAAAAATGGGCACATCATATTGCATAGTCAGTATGAAGTCAATGAAGTCTATAAATCATGTAATATAACATATCATACAAATCCATCACAATAAAATATGTGTTAATTTAGCATAATAACAATGATGTGCCATAAGTACTAAACTGATGATGTACATGTAATATACATGCATTGACTACATTATTGCTGTTATAACATTTTATATATAATTTCAATATTTTGCTTCAAGGTTGAATTACAAGTACATGTATGTTAATGCTATATTATTTTCCTATTTGCATAATATGCATGCATGATGCCATATACTTTTATGCTCTGTCTGTGCATTAGCCTGTACAACTGTTTGAGTTGCTTTTTTTGTCGCTATAACATGCAATATATTTCAGCATATGACTTTTTCAAATGCAAAATACAACAAACACTACAAAAAAACGACCGCATCATCCATTTAGTAAAGAATTACTACATTGACATCTTACAGTGAATTGCTTTTTATTTACTCTACTTTCTATTTTCTAACATTAGACACAATGCCAATGACTAACTCAGTCAATCTCTTCGATTCAGTCTGATAGCCAGACTAATGTTACACTACATACTATACTATAGGTCACATCTATATGGATTTTATTGGTTAGTTCATCCACTGACTCTAAATTACCTGTGAAATATCTTCCCACAGCAGGCAAACTGCTTGTGTTTGCATTAGAATGCAACACAAGTAGGCATTTTCACTGCGCATCTCCATGTGAGTTGGGAGTACCAGCATGGCAGACGGTGGCTTTACTTTTTTCAGGAAATCAGCAATTGAGTGAATAAAAAGAGATCAGTGGTTTCAGGAGGAAGCGTGAACTTACATCCTGCATGATTTTTAAAAGTAAAAATCATTAAAAATAAGGTCTTCAGAGCATGCTTTTTCCTTTGTTGCAGGAAAATGCCTCTCACATTAGACAGACAGCCTTTACCAAAACTTTCCTAATTCAGCCCTCTTCTGAGAGCTGGTTTAGCTTTTCATGCCCCTGTCATCCTGAAAGCCATGCCTTAATTATTAAATATTACAACCAGTCAGAGTTTCTAAAGATTGATCGGAACTTGATCAATGGGCTGCTACAGACTGCTCTTAGCAGCTTATTTCCCTTTATGACATCAGAAGGGGAATGCTTTTCAAACAGACCATTTTGAAAAGACATTAGCTAAGAGGGGGTGAAAGGCAATGGTAGAGGTGAAGGTTTTTCAGTTGAAACCTCATACATAGGCTTCAGGACACATAATTGTTACAGAATGTTTATATTGTGAATGTTGTGCCTTGTATCAAATATGAGACATTTGAAAGATATGATTATGAAATATCTTTAACGTTATTACTTTCTAATTTTCAGTCAAGTAAGCAGTGCAATCTATTCCTGAAGACAATTTACAATCTCTTATGAAAAAGGTATTCACCTGAAGCATAGAAGACATACAATAAAGCTACACATCTCAGACTAAATGCTGAAATTAATAAATAAATATATATATATATATATATATATATATATATATATATATATATATATATATATATATATATATATATATATATATAGCAGGGTTAGCAGGTAGTTAAAGCAGGGTCTACTTTTGCTTTAGGTAGTCAATTTGCATTTTCTCTTTGAAAACCATTAGAAAAAGGTATCTTCTTTGATGTAACAGTCATAAGTGGATAAAGCAATCATGAGAGTGCTTCTACCTAATTTGAAAACTCAAATTGGTATAAAAAGTGGTCTTTAGTGCTTTGGTTCTCAAGTGGGTTTGTCGAAAGAGACTGTTTATGAAAAAAAGTCTTAAGAACATCAGGAATTGACATAACATATTTTAAGGGTAGAGAAAAGAAAAAAATACTAATACAGTAAATGTGATGCATAAGTCTTTTAACTGGGGCACTCCTATAACATCATGAATAGCACAGACAAAAACTTCATTTTGGTACCACACAGTAACACAGCTTTGACTACTTTCCATGAATGCTACTTTCAAACCTATTTCAATGGGAGTCAGGATAGTCTGCCATCACTTAAAAAGCAGTGCAACGCCTGCAAACATTATAATGCCTGCAAATATAATAAATCAAAAACATAATATTTGCAGCTTTTAATGTCTCACAAATGTAATACTAGTTATATTCATGGGCGCATGGACTTTTTTTCCTCAAGTTCATGGAGATCTTTGGAATAGCCCTGGGACTAAGACAGACTGTGTGTTTAACAGGGGGAATAATGTGCTGTGTGGACAGACTGTTTTGTA